ATGTAGTATTAACTTACACATAAATGTAGTAGAAATAAAACACAGATTCAAACTAAAATATTAGCATAATATAAAACTAGAAAATATAAGTAGTTTGAAAGTAGACATTAACAATTTAAACTTTAAAACTGAATGTAGTTTAACCTACACCTAAATGTAGTAGAATTAAAATCTTTATAGCCTGTAACCTATCTACATTGTCATTGTTTTGCTGTCAACAATGCCTTTGTTTGCTTAGGTTGTAAACAGTAGTTAGTTTATAAATCTAATTTAAAAAAATGTCTAAATGCTAGCACTAATTTAATAGATATTCTAATTAAAAATAAAATATAAAATCATAACTACTGTAGTAGAATTAAAATAAAAGATTTAAACTAATATGTTAGCATAATAAAAACTAGTAAATATAAGTAGGTTTAAAGTAGAAATTAACTAAAATTTAAAACTAAATATAGTATTAACTTAAACAAAATGTAGTAGAAATAAAACACACATTGAAACTAAAATGTTAGCATAATATAAAACTAGTAAATAAATGCAGGTTTAATATAGTGAACACTAAAATAATTGTAATGTCCCGAGACATGACGTTAAACTGCGCTCCTCTTTTTTGGCTTTTTTGGAGCTTAAAAGAGCCTTTCTTCTATTCCATCATGATGTCTGCCTCCTCTCTAAATGTAATATTAGCTAATATGTTAGCATAATAAAAACTAGTAAATATAAGTAGGTTTAAAGTAAAAATTAACTAAAATTTAAAACTAAATGTAGTATTAACTTACACATAAATGTAGTAGAAATAAAACACAGATTGAAACTAAAATGTTAGCATAATATAAAACTAGTAAATAAATGCAGGTTTAATATAGTGAACACTAAAAAAATTGTAATGTCCCGAGACATGACGTTAAACTGCGCTCCTCTTTTTTGGCTTTTTTGGAGCTTAAAAGAGCCTTTCTTCTATTCCATCATGATGTCTGCCTCCTCTCTAAATGTAATATTAGCTAATATGTTAGCATAATAAAAACTAGTAAATATAAGTAGGTTTAAAGTAAAAATTAACTAAAATATTAAACTAAATGTAGTATTAACTTACACATAAATGTAGTAGAAATAAAACACAGATTCAAACTAAAATATTAGCATAATATAAAACTAGAAAATATAAGTAGTTTGAAAGTAGACATTAACAATTTAAACTTTAAAACTGAATGTAGTTTAACTTACACCTAAATGTAGTAGAATTAAAATCTTTATAGCCTGTAACCTATCTACATTGTCATTGTTTTGCTGTCAACAATGCCTTTGTTTGCTTAGGTTGTAAACAGTAGTTAGTTTAAAAATCTAATTAAAAAAAATGTCTAAATGCTAGCACTAATTTAATAGATATTCTAATTAAAAATAAAATAGAAAATCATAACTACTGTAGTAGAATTAAAATAAAAGATTTAAACTAATATGTTAGCATAATAAAAACTAGTAAATATAAGTAGGTTTAAAGTAGAAATTAACTAAAATTTAAAACTAAATATAGTATTAACTTAAACAAAATGTAGTAGAAATAAAACACACATTGAAACTAAAATGTTAGCATAATATAAAACTAGTAAATAAATGCAGGTTTAATATAGTGAACACTAAAAAAATTGTAATGTCCCGAGACATGACGTTAAACTGCGCTCCTCTTTTTTGGCTTTTTTGGAGCTTAAAAGAGCCTTTCTTCTATTCCATCATGATGTCTGCCTCCTCTCTAAATGTAATATTAGCTAATATGTTAGCATAATAAAAACTAGTAAATATAAGTAGGTTTAAAGTAAAAATTAACTAAAATATTAAACTAAATGTAGTATTAACTTACACATAAATGTAGTAGAAATAAAACACAGATTCAAACTAAAATATTAGCATAATATAAAACTAGAAAATATAAGTAGTTTGAAAGTAGACATTAACAATTTAAACTTTAAAACTGAATGTAGTTTAACTTACACCTAAATGTAGTAGAATTAAAATCTTTATAGCCTGTAACCTATCTACATTGTCATTGTTTTGCTGTCAACAATGCCTTTGTTTGCTTAGGTTGTAAACAGTAGTTAGTTTAAAAATCTAATTAAAAAAAATGTCTAAATGCTAGCACTAATTTAATAGATATTCTAATTAAAAATAAAATATAAAATCATAACTACTGTAGTAGAATTAAAATAAAAGATTTAAACTAATATGTTAGCATAATAAAAACTAGTAAATATAAGTAGGTTTAAAGTAGAAATTAACTAAAATTTAAAACTAAATATAGTATTAACTTAAACAAAATGTAGTAGAAATAAAACACACATTGAAACTAAAATGTTAGCATAATATAAAACTAGTAAATAAATGCAGGTTTAATATAGTGAACACTAAAATAATTGTAATGTCCCATGAGACATGACGTTAAACTGCGCTCCTCTTTTTTGGCTTTTTTGGAGCTTAAAAGAGCCTTTCTTCTATTCCATCATGATGTCTGCCTCCTCTCTAAATGTAATATTAGCTAATATGTTAGCATAATAAAAACTAGTAAATATAAGTAGGTTTAAAGTAAAAATTAACTAAAATTTAAAACTAAATGTAGTATTAACTTACACATAAATGTAGTAGAAATAAAACACAGATTGAAACTAAAATGTTAGCATAATATAAAACTAGTAAATAAATGCAGGTTTAATATAGTGAACACTAAAAAAATTGTAATGTCCCGAGACATGACGTTAAACTGCGCTCCTCTTTTTTGGCTTTTTTGGAGCTTAAAAGAGCCTTTCTTCTATTCCATCATGATGTCTGCCTCCTCTCTAAATGTAATATTAGCTAATATGTTAGCATAATAAAAACTAGTAAATATAAGTAGGTTTAAAGTAAAAATTAACTAAAATATTAAACTAAATGTAGTATTAACTTACACATAAATGTAGTAGAAATAAAACACAGATTCAAACTAAAATATTAGCATAATATAAAACTAGAAAATATAAGTAGTTTGAAAGTAGACATTAACAATTTAAACTTTAAAACTGAATGTAGTTTAACTTACACCTAAATGTAGTAGAATTAAAATCTTTATAGCCTGTAACCTATCTACATTGTCATTGTTTTGCTGTCAACAATGCCTTTGTTTGCTTAGGTTGTAAACAGTAGTTAGTTTATAAATCTAATTTAAAAAAATGTCTAAATGCTAGCACTAATTTAATAGATATTCTAATTAAAAATAAAATATAAAATCATAACTACTGTAGTAGAATTAAAATAAAAGATTTAAACTAATATGTTAGCATAAAAAAAACTAGTAAATATAAGTAGGTTTAAAGTAGAAATTAACTAAAATTTAAAACTAAATGTAGTATTAACTTACACATAAATGTAGTAGAAATAAAACACAGATTCAAACTAAAATGTTAGCATAATATAAAACTAGTAAATAAATGCAGGTTTAATATAGTGAACACTAAAATAATTGTAATGTCCCGAGACATGACGTTAAACTGCGCTCCTCTTTTTTGGCTTTTTTGGAGCTTAAAAGAGCCTTTCTTCTATTCCATCATGATGTCTGCCTCCTCTCTAAATGTAATATTAGCTAATATGTTAGCATAATAAAAACTAGTAAATATAAGTAGGTTTAAAGTAAAAATTAACTAAAATTTAAAACTAAATGTAGTATTAACTTACACATAAATGTAGTAGAAATAAAACACAGATTCAAACTAAAATATTAGCATAATATAAAACTAGAAAATATAAGTAGTTTGAAAGTAGACATTAACAATTTAAACTTTAAAACTGAATGTAGTTTAACTTACACCTAAATGTAGTAGAATTAAAATCTTTATAGCCTGTAACCTATCTACATTGTCATTGTTTTGCTGTCAACAATGCCTTTGTTTGCTTAGGTTGTAAACAGTAGTTAGTTTATAAATCTAATTTAAAAAAATGTCTAAATGCTAGCACTAATTTAATAGATATTCTAATTAAAAATAAAATATAAAATCATAACTACTGTAGTAGAATTAAAATAAAAGATTTAAACTAATATGTTAGCATAAAAAAAACTAGTAAATATAAGTAGGTTTAAAGTAGAAATTAACTAAAATTTAAAACTAAATGTAGTATTAACTTACACATAAATGTAGTAGAAATAAAACACAGATTCAAACTAAAATGTTAGCATAATATAAAACTAGTAAATAAATGCAGGTTTAATATAGTGAACACTAAAATAATTGTAATGTCCCGAGACATGACGTTAAACTGCGCTCCTCTTTTTTGGCTTTTTTGGAGCTTAAAAGAGCCTTTCTTCTATTCCATCATGATGTCTGCCTCCTCTCTAAATGTAATATTAGCTAATATGTTAGCATAATAAAAACTAGTAAATATAAGTAGGTTTAAAGTAAAAATTAACTAAAATTTAAAACTAAATGTAGTATTAACTTACACATAAATGTAGTAGAAATAAAACACAGATTCAAACTAAAATATTAGCATAATATAAAACTAGAAAATATAAGTAGTTTGAAAGTAGACATTAACAATTTAAACTTTAAAACTGAATGTAGTTTAACTTACACCTAAATGTAGTAGAATTAAAATCTTTATAGCCTGTAACCTATCTACATTGTCATTGTTTTGCTGTCAACAATGCCTTTGTTTGCTTAGGTTGTAAACAGTAGTTAGTTTAAAAATCTAATTAAAAAAAATGTCTAAATGCTAGCACTAATTTAATAGATATTCTAATTAAAAATAAAATAGAAAATCAAAACTACTGTAGTAGAATTAAAATAAAAGATTTAAACTAATATGTTAGCATAATAAAAACTAGTAAATATAAGTAGGTTTAAAGTAGAAATTAACTAAAATTTAAAACTAAATATAGTATTAACTTAAACAAAATGTAGTAGAAATAAAACACACATTGAAACTAAAATGTTAGCATAATATAAAACTAGTAAATAAATGCAGGTTTAATATAGTGAACACTAAAATAATTGTAATGTCCCGAGACATGACGTTAAACTGCGCTCCTCTTTTTTGGCTTTTTTGGAGCTTAAAAGAGCCTTTCTTCTATTCCATCATGATGTCTGCCTCCTCTCTAAATGTAATATTAGCTAATATGTTAGCATAATAAAAACTAGTAAATATAAGTAGGTTTAAAGTAAAAATTAACTAAAATATTAAACTAAATGTAGTATTAACTTACACATAAATGTAGTAGAAATAAAACACAGATTCAAACTAAAATATTAGCATAATATAAAACTAGAAAATATAAGTAGTTTGAAAGTAGACATTAACAATTTAAACTTTAAAACTGAATGTAGTTTAACTTACACCTAAATGTAGTAGAATTAAAATCTTTATAGCCTGTAACCTATCTACATTGTCATTGTTTTGCTGTCAACAATGCCTTTGTTTGCTTAGGTTGTAAACAGTAGTTAGTTTAAAAATCTAATTAAAAAAAATGTCTAAATGCTAGCACTAATTTAATAGATATTCTAATTAAAAATAAAATATAAAATCATAACTACTGTAGTAGAATTAAAATTAAAAGATTTAAACTAATATGTTAGCATAATAAAAACTAGTAAATATAAGTAGGTTTAAAGTAGAAATTAACTAAAATTTAAAACTAAATATAGTATTAACTTAAACAAAATGTAGTAGAAATAAAACACACATTGAAACTAAAATGTTAGCATAATATAAAACTAGTAAATAAATGCAGGTTTAATATAGTGAACACTAAAATAATTGTAATGTCCCGAGACATGACGTTAAACTGCGCTCCTCTTTTTTGGCTTTTTTGGAGCTTAAAAGAGCCTTTCTTCTATTCCATCATGATGTCTGCCTCCTCTCTAAATGTAATATTAGCTAATATGTTAGCATAATAAAAACTAGTAAATATAAGTAGGTTTAAAGTAAAAATTAACTAAAATATAAAACTAAATGTAGTATTAACTTACACATAAATGTAGTAGAAATAAAACACAGATTCAAACTAAAATATTAGCATAATATAAAACTAGAAAATATAAGTAGTTTGAAAGTAGACATTAACAATTTAAACTTTAAAACTGAATGTAGTTTAACTTACACCTAAATGTAGTAGAATTAAAATCTTTATAGCCTGTAACCTATCTACATTGTCATTGTTTTGCTGTCAACAATGCCTTTGTTTGCTTAGGTTGTAAACAGTAGTTAGTTTATAAATCTAATTTAAAAAAATGTCTAAATGCTAGCACTAATTTAATAGATATTCTAATTAAAAATAAAATATAAAATCATAACTACTGTAGTAGAATTAAAATAAAAGATTTAAACTAATATGTTAGCATAAAAAAAACTAGTAAATATAAGTAGGTTTAAAGTAGAAATTAACTAAAATTTAAAACTAAATATAGTAATGACTTAAACAAAATGTAGTAGAAATAAAACACACATTGAAACTAAAATGTTAGCATAATATAAAACTAGTAAATAAATGCAGGTTTAATATAGTGAACACTAAAATAATTGTAATGTCCCATGAGACATGACGTTAAACTGCGCTCCTCTTTTTTGGCTTTTTTGGAGCTTAAAAGAGCCTTTCTTCTATTCCATCATGATGTCTGCCTCCTCTCTAAATGTAATATTAGCTAATATGTTAGCATAATAAAAACTAGTAAATATAAGTAGGTTTAAAGTAAAAATTAACTAAAATTTAAAACTAAATGTAGTATTAACTTACACATAAATGTAGTAGAAATAAAACACAGATTCAAACTAAAATATTAGCATAATATAAAACTAGAAAATATAAGTAGTTTGAAAGTAGACATTAACAATTTAAACTTTAAAACTAAATGTAGTTTTACCTACACCTAAATGTAGTAGAATTAAAATCTTTATAGCCTGTAACCTATCTACATTGTCATTGTTTTGCTGTCAACAATGCCTTTGTTTGCTTAGGTTGTAAACAGTAGTTAGTTTATAAATCTAATTTAAAAAAATGTCTAAATGCTAGCACTAATTTAATAGATATTCTAATTAAAAATAAAATATAAAATCATAACTACTGTAGTAGAATTAAAATAAAAGATTTAAACTAATATGTTAGCATAAAAAAAACTAGTAAATATAAGTAGGTTTAAAGTAGAAATTAACTAAAATTTAAAACTAAATGTAGTATTAACTTACACATAAATGTAGTAGAAATAAAACACAGATTCAAACTAAAATGTTAGCATAATATAAAACTAGTAAATAAATGCAGGTTTAATATAGTGAACACTAAAATAATTGTAATGTCCCGAGACATGACGTTAAACTGCGCTCCTCTTTTTTGGCTTTTTTGGAGCTTAAAAGAGCCTTTCTTCTATTCCATCATGATGTCTGCCTCCTCTCTAAATGTAATATTAGCTAATATGTTACCATAATAAAAACTAGTAAATATAAGTAGGTTTAAAGTAAAAATTAACTAAAATATAAAACTAAATGTAGTATTAACTTACACATAAATGTAGTAGAAATAAAACACAGATTCAAACTAAAATATTAGCATAATATAAAACTAGAAAATATAAGTAGTTTGAAAGTAGACATTAACAATTTAAACTTTAAAACTGAATGTAGTTTAACTTACACCTAAATGTAGTAGAATTAAAATCTTTATAGCCTGTAACCTATCTACATTGTCATTGTTTTGCTGTCAACAATGCCTTTGTTTGCTTAGGTTGTAAACAGTAGTTAGTTTATAAATCTAATTAAAAAAAATGTCTAAATGCTAGCACTAATTTAATAGATATTCTAATTAAAAATAAAATATAAAATCATAACGACTGTAGTAGAATTAAAATAAAAGATTTAAACTAATATGTTAGCATAATAAAAACTAGTAAATATAAGTAGGTTTAAAGAAGAAATTAACTAAAATTTAAAACTAAATATAGTATTAACTTAAACAAAATGTAGTAGAAATAAAACACACATTGAAACTAAAATGTTAGCATAATATAAAACTAGTAAATAAATGCAGGTTTAATATAGTGAACACTAAAATAATTGTAATGTTCCGAGACATGACGTTAAACTGCGCTCCTCTTTTTTGGCTTTTTTGGAGCTTAAAAGAGCCTTTCTTCTATTCCATCATGATGTCTGCCTCCTCTCTAAATGTAATATTAGCTAATATGTTAGCATAATAAAAACTAGTAAATATAAGTAGGTTTAAAGTAAAAATTAACTAAAATTTAAAACTAAATGTAGTATTAACTTACACATAAATGTAGTAGAAATAAAACACAGATTCAAACTAAAATATTAGCATAATATAAAACTAGAAAATATAAGTAGTTTGAAAGTAGACATTAACAATTTAAACTTTAAAACTGAATGTAGTTTAACTTACACCTAAATGTAGTAGAATTAAAATCTTTATAGCCTGTAACCTATCTACATTGTCATTGTTTTGCTGTCAACAATGCCTTTGTTTGCTTAGGTTGTAAACAGTAGTTAGTTTATAAATCTAATTTAAAAAAATGTCTAAATGCTAGCACTAATTTAATAGATATTCTAATTAAAAATAAAATATAAAATCATAACTACTGTAGTAGAATTAAAATAAAAGATTTAAACTAATATGTTAGCATAAAAAAAACTAGTAAATATAAGTAGGTTTAAAGTAGAAATTAACTAAAATTTAAAACTAAATGTAGTATTAACTTACACATAAATGTAGTAGAAATAAAACACAGATTCAAACTAAAATGTTAGCATAATATAAAACTAGTAAATAAATGCAGGTTTAATATAGTGAACACTAAAATAATTGTAATGTCCCATGAGACATGACGTTAAACTGCGCTCCTCTTTTTTGGCTTTTTTGGAGCTTAAAAGAGCCTTTCTTCTATTCCATCATGATGTCTGCCTCCTCTCTAAATGTAATATTAGCTAATATGTTAGCATAATAAAAACTAGTAAATATAAGTAGGTTTAAAGTAAAAATTAACTAAAATTTAAAACTAAATGTAGTATTAACTTACACATAAATGTAGTAGAAATAAAACACAGATTCAAACTAAAATATTAGCATAATATAAAACTAGAAAATATAAGTAGTTTGAAAGTAGACATTAACAATTTAAACTTTAAAACTGAATGTAGTTTAACTTACACCTAAATGTAGTAGAATTAAAATCTTTATAGCCTGTAACCTATCTACATTGTCATTGTTTTGCTGTCAACAATGCCTTTGTTTGCTTAGGTTGTAAACAGTAGTTAGTTTAAAAATCTAATTAAAAAAAATGTCTAAATGCTAGCACTAATTTAATAGATATTCTAATTAAAAATAAAATATAAAATCATAACTACTGTAGTAGAATTAAAATAAAAGATTTAAACTAATATGTTAGCATAAAAAAAACTAGTAAATATAAGTAGGTTTAAAGTAGAAATTAACTAAAATTTAAAACTAAATGTAGTATTAACTTACACATAAATGTAGTAGAAATAAAACACAGATTCAAACTAAAATGTTAGCATAATATAAAACTAGTAAATAAATGCAGGTTTAATATAGTGAACACTAAAATAATTGTAATGTCCCATGAGACATGACGTTAAACTGCGCTCCTCTTTTTTGGCTTTTTTGGAGCTTAAAAGAGCCTTTCTTCTATTCCATCATGATGTCTGCCTCCTCTCTAAATGTAATATTAGCTAATATGTTAGCATAATAAAAACTAGTAAATATAAGTAGGTTTAAAGTAAAAATTAACTAAAATTTAAAACTAAATGTAGTATTAACTTACACATAAATGTAGTAGAAATAAAACACAGATTCAAACTAAAATATTAGCATAATATAAAACTAGAAAATATAAGTAGTTTGAAAGTAGACATTAACAATTTAAACTTTAAAACTGAATGTAGTTTAACTTACACCTAAATGTAGTAGAATTAAAATCTTTATAGCCTGTAACCTATCTACATTGTCATTGTTTTGCTGTCAACAATGCCTTTGTTTGCTTAGGTTGTAAACAGTAGTTAGTTTAAAAATCTAATTAAAAAAAATGTCTAAATGCTAGCACTAATTTAATAGATATTCTAATTAAAAATAAAATAGAAAATCATAACTACTGTAGTAGAATTAAAATAAAAGATTTAAACTAATATGTTAGCATAAAAAAAACTAGTAAATATAAGTAGGTTTAAAGTAGAAATTAACTAATATTTAAAACTAAATGTAGTATTAACTTACACATAAATGTAGTAGAAATAAAACACAGATTCAAACTAAAATGTTAGCATAATATAAAACTAGTAAATAAATGCAGGTTTAATATAGTGAACACTAAAATAATTGTAATGTCCCGAGACATGACGTTAAACTGCGCTCCTCTTTTTTGGCTTTTTTGGAGCTTAAAAGAGCCTTTCTTCTATTCCATCATGATGTCTGCCTCCTCTCTAAATGTAATATTAGCTAATATGTTACCATAATAAAAACTAGTAAATATAAGTAGGTTTAAAGTAAAAATTAACTAAAATATAAAACTAAATGTAGTATTAACTTACACATAAATGTAGTAGAAATAAAACACAGATTCAAACTAAAATATTAGCATAATATAAAACTAGAAAATATAAGTAGTTTGAAAGTAGACATTAACAATTTAAACTTTAAAACTGAATGTAGTTTAACTTACACCTAAATGTAGTAGAATTAAAATCTTTATAGCCTGTAACCTATCTACATTGTCATTGTTTTGCTGTCAACAATGCCTTTGTTTGCTTAGGTTGTAAACAGTAGTTAGTTTATAAATCTAATTAAAAAAAATGTCTAAATGCTAGCACTAATTTAATAGATATTCTAATTAAAAATAAAATATAAAATCATAACGACTGTAGTAGAATTAAAATAAAAGATTTAAACTAATATGTTAGCATAATAAAAACTAGTAAATATAAGTAGGTTTAAAGAAGAAATTAACTAAAATTTAAAACTAAATATAGTATTAACTTAAACAAAATGTAGTAGAAATAAAACACACATTGAAACTAAAATGTTAGCATAATATAAAACTAGTAAATAAATGCAGGTTTAATATAGTGAACACTAAAATAATTGTAATGTTCCGAGACATGACGTTAAACTGCGCTCCTCTTTTTTGGCTTTTTTGGAGCTTAAAAGAGCCTTTCTTCTATTCCATCATGATGTCTGCCTCCTCTCTAAATGTAATATTAGCTAATATGTTAGCATAATAAAAACTAGTAAATATAAGTAGGTTTAAAGTAAAAATTAACTAAAATTTAAAACTAAATGTAGTAT